TGTGTGTGTGTGTGTGTGTGTGTGTGTGTGTGTGTGTGTGTGTGTGTGTGTGTGTGTGTGTGTGTGTGTTTTGTGCGTGTGTATATGTGCGTGTTCTTTTGTCGTCTGTATTCATGGCAACGCGCGAATTGTGTGACTCATTGATTATCTATAACGCATTGTATTTGTTTTTGATTATTTGATTCTATTCCAATGTCTGCTGACCTGGCTGATTTTTTATAGGGCTTTAATTCATTCCGCCTCATCCGCTTATAAGCCCTTCGGCATCATATTTCCTCCGAATCAGGAAAAAAATCAATACGAACTCGTTTGTAGGGCAGTAAGCTTTCTAGGCAGCGTAAACAACTCGGTGGGTAAAGAGGGGGAAGGTGGTGGTGTGTGGTGTGGAGTGGGGATGCGGGGAGAGCTTTGAGCGTTCAATACGCGAGCGCGAGCGAGATTACGCTGCTCTGAAATTTGATTAGGCCGCGTGTGACGCATGAAGCAGTTTCGTAGGGCATGTGGTCGTTGCGGCATAATGCTGGAGAAGACGTGCATTTACCGGTGAAGCCTGCGCTGCACGGATGCGCTTTCCTCTCCTCGTCAGTGCGACTGCGAGAAAAAGTATTCCATTGGCACGGCATGGCGCACTATCTGTCACTATCTATCTATCTGGCTGTCTGTCTGTCTGTCTATCTATCTTATTATAGTCGCCCCTCTTCTCTCTCTCTCTCTATCTGTCATTTCCCCTCCCTTCCCCTCTCTCTCTCTTTCTCCCGCTCGCTCTCCCGCCGGCTCTTTTTGTTGTGTTTACACGGCCTAGTACATGGCGAGTTTGATGAATATTTGACGCCACGCTCATTAAATATTCCGTAAAACGGGTCAAGTCCGCAGAGAGGACGCGGGTGTCAGAGACTCAGAGTATGTGTGTTTATGGTGGTGGTAAGAGGAGAGGGGGGGGGGATTTTGAAATTCATCTGCGAAAACGTTGCGCGGCACGCTTTTCGCATGGTAATGTTGTCAACTAAATTAAGCTGGCTCAGTTCGTAAGCGGCTTGCCATCCGGCTGACGTCATGCGACCGCGCGACCGCGTGTGTATCGTGGCGACGGATAAAAAAATATAAACTGCAAATTGCATTTTTTTGCTGTGTGCGAGTGGAGGGGGAGGGGGGTGCTATCTGCCCACGCGTTTCCTATGGCAGGCGCGGAGCGACTGCTGGTTACCTATATAGGCCTACACGCAAGCAAGACATGGATGGTTTCGACGTGTCACCGAGATGCAGCAGACATTAGAAAGGTAGCTCTCCGCTTGCACGCGGCCGGAGAGACCGCGGGAGGGGAGAGGGTGACGTGTGCGTACTATGCCAGTCCTCACGCACAGGCACTTGGAGTGTTTCAATAAAATATAATGCTAAATAAATACGAAATCTATTTACTACGGTACCAAAGTCTTAATGGTTCTATACTCTCTTTTACCTATTATTGCCGACAATTTCCTGTAAATGCTGTCCAAATGCTCATCTACAACAAACACTGGCTGCCGCCATTGCTGCCGCTGCACACTGACACATAAATATATAGTGTATATTTATGTGTTTATGTATGTATAAAACAGTATAATATATAAATATATATATTATATATTTATGTGTCAGTGTGCAGCGGCAGCAATGGCGGCAGCCAGTGTTTGTTGCACATGAGCATTTGGACGGCATTTACAGGAAATTGTCGGCAATAATAGGCGAAAGAGAGTATAGAAACATTAGGACTTTGGTAGTAAATAGATTTCGTATTTATTTTATTGAAACGCTCCAAGTGCCTGTGTCCTCACGCTGCAACTACGTACTGCGCGCTGAGCGGTAATCCAGGAGGCCTTACGCATTGCTCAACGTGTGGTGTGCGGTTAGGGTTAGGGGTAGCTCTAGAACTATAACCCTTCGCTCTGCCACAGGTTTAGTGCTGTAGCCATGTGGCAGAGTGAAGGGCTATAGTTTTAGAGCTAGGTCGGGGGGGGGGGAGTCCGGGCAGCAATAAATCGAATCCTGAACCGACGGTGAGCCCGCGTCGTAGCTTTCTCGGTCGCCATGTTGTAGCCGCAGCGTCTGCCAGTTCCATAAACCAAAGTATGGTCGTGACGTCAGTGTACGTCAGTGTGACGTCAGTGGCTATCTACCACCATAGACCAATCACGCACGCACATCCATATATGCATGGCACATCCATAATATATTATTATAGTAGGTCTCAGGGGAGAGATAGTGAATATAGAAATAAGTTGTGGATATAGAAATCAGTTAACCCTAACCCTAATCCTGATCCTAACCCTAACTCTAACCCTAACCCTATCCCTAATTCTAAAATAAAACAAAATTATCCAAAAATAATAAACAATAAAATAAATAAAAGACAAAATTATCCAAAAATAATAAACAATAAAATAAATAAAAGACAAAATTAGCCAATCAGAGCCGTTTGTGTTAGCATTTAATGCGCCCTCTAGCGGCTCACTATCTCTCCCCTGTGCAAAATTTATATATTATTCCAATAACGCTGAATAGTAGACTGGTACTCGCTCCCACCTCGATTACTCAATTACTCGATTACTCGATTACTCGATTACCTAAGCCGAGAGGTGGGACCGGGTACCAGTCTAGCTGAATAGCCGAACTCGTACGCCGGCTGGTGTTACGTCTGGGGGCGTTGGTTCTAATCTGATCTGTTTATTTTTATTTTATTTATTTTTTCTATCTTTATTCATTTAACTATTTTTCCCCAATTAACGCAAATATTTACATGATTTATTTACAATTTTTAATTACTTTTTTTTTATTACATTTAATTTATTAGTGTTAATTTAATTTAATTAGGGTTAGGGTTAGGGAGTGGGGCGTAGCACGCAACCACCAGCACCATCAGCAGGCTGTATGCATTCAACTTCGGAGATAGCCGAGTTCGTGCGTGATGTCGGTGTATGTCACGACCATACTTTGGTTCATGGAAACATATGCCGACCGTTTCTCGTAACTACGCGAAATCCGAAGCCCCGCCCTGAACGGCTGACGACGACGAGTGACGCAGGCGCATACACGCACGCACGCACGCACGCACGCACGCACGCACGCACGCACGCACGCACGCACGCACGCACGCGCCGGAGCTGAGTCCACACGCCCGTGGCAGAACTTGCGAGTGCAAAGTCGTGTTTTTTCCATCGATTTCTTTAGGAACTCGACAGCTGAGCTGTATTAGGTTGCGTGTGCCAAGATGACGGAAGGGAACAAAAACTGCGAGAGCGCTGTTAGGTGTGGGGGAGGGAGGGAGGGAGGGAGAGTAGACGCGTGCGGGGTGGGTGGGTGTGTGATGCTGTGGAAGTGTGTGTGCACAGGCACACAAACATTTTTTTTGGTATTTTCAATAAAATACAATGCTAAATAAATACGAAATCTATTTACTACCAAAGTCTCAATGTTTCTATACTCTCTTTCACCTATTATTGCCGACAATTTCCTGTAAATGCCGTCCAAATGCTCTACCCTAACACATAAACAGCTTCTCGCGCTTGCGCATTGCTGCGCGTTGCACACATGACACATAAATATATAGTAGACTTGGTACTAAAGTTAGATTCTCGTATTTTTTAGTACTTATATTTTATTGCACCGCGCTCGAAGTGCCTAGTGTGTGTGCGTGCGTGGGCGTGGCGTGCGTTGCGGTGCGTGTGTATGTGTTGTGTGTGTGTACCATGAGCCGTAAAAATTACTCTTTTTTTTACGACGAAGCTCTTTTTCTGATTTTCTAATGAAAAAAAGAGCTCTCGTAATTTTTTTTTACGAAGGAGCTTTTTTGAGGCTTGGGCAGAGTACTTTATAGCATAGCAT